TGGAAGGACAATGAGACAAGCATTAAATCAGAGCAACAAAAGAGAGAACATCGCCATCAAAGATCTAAGCATCTGGTTGATGTCTATGGACCGTGGATGCATGCAGCCATGGACTGCAAAGGATTTCTGAACTAATATTAAACATGGTGATTTAATATAATTTTAGCGGATGTTAATTTTTCTAATTTCTTTTGGCCCTCTTCATTTGGGAGACGGCATAAAAAGAGACACACTGCCCACACTGTTCACTCATTATGAATGTAAAATCCTTCAAAGTAAAGCAGAAATTTGGCACTCAGTTTTAGTCATTGTCTGATTTTACAGAGAGAATCTGCAGGAGAGCAATATAGAGACAATTAACAAAAAATTTAAAAAGTCACTGTCCAAATATTTATGGACTGCACTGTGATCAATATGTCTTCAAAAAGAGAATAAAATGATGCCTCGTTCTTGAAAAACAAACTAATAATGAAAAGAAAACTAGTTTTGTACAGTTTAATTTCTCAAGAACACATTGATGGTTTGAAGCACTGACTTTAATTAAATGTGTTCAAGTGTGGCAGGTTTTTTTTAAGCAATTTATCTAAAATATGCAAAAATGTATTATGGTCGCCTCTAACCTGTCTCTAAGTGACACACACCTACTAATGCACTGATAAGTGAAATAATTTATGATGAAGCGTAGCCATAAAATACAAACACAGTAATCTTGTCAAATTAACACAAACAGACTTTTCCATACATTTTTACCAATGAAATTTCGGCTTCCTGTAATATTGACATCAAATGTGTTTTTTTTTTTTTTTTTGCCGGAAGATGATTTTTACAGATCTAGCATCTGTTTTTATAGAGAGTTAGCGCTCGTTCTTGCATCTGAAATGAGTGGATTCATAGCCAATGTTATGGCCAGTTAAAAGAATGCAGACTCTTGGACTGTTTTGCTGCGCTAATCGCAAAACAGGACAAATAACTTTGACGTGACCCACTGGATCTGAACTGGGTCTATTTCCCGGGGCATATTCAGAACATGGGATCTTTGGCTGTACATTTCTGTGAGTGAGTGGTTATGATCGATACTGGTAATTATAAGAAAAAAAAATGCATTGGCAGGGATTCTCTGCATGTTCCTATACACAATCATGTGTTTGGCCAGCGGTTTTGCATTAACGATGCAAGTAGGTTCAGTACTGCTAGGGATTTTGAATATAATTGGTGTGTCAGTTGCACACATTCAGTTATCTTTGTGGTTATGGCTCATTTGATAACAGCAAAAAATGTTGCGGCTGAAAAGGTCTGTTAAAGTACAAACTGTTAATTTAATTCCTATTGCAGAAGCTAGCCATGTGGTAACCTAAAAACTCACAGATGTTCATAAATAGTTCCTGCAATAGCTGTGTCTTCTTCTAAAACATCCTTATGGTTTATTCAGAATATGCGTGGTTTAAAAACACTATTATCAGGAGCATTTCTTCAGAAATAGCGCAATACCTCATCCTGCAAAATTCAAATTAATTAGGTTTTATTGAAGTAAATATAATTCTTCCTGACATGTGCCATTTTATTACATCAATTTTTCTTTGGTCCCTCAGAAAATGCAGCATGTCAGTTGTTCAAATAGGTTTCGTGGCAAGACAAGTGAAACATTTGTCTTCATACAGCTCACAAAATGCATAATTGCCAACTCCAGCAGCTCTCTTATGTTACTATGGCAACCCAGCGCAAAAGGAATATACGTGCATGTATTTGCTGTGGGTTCACCTGATAAGGACGACAGGGTTAAGGAAGACTGTCATTCCGGAGTGATAAGTGCAGACGTGTGTAATAACTAATGCCACCGGTGCATTTCATTAATTAGTGGGTCAGGAAGTGAGGAGCTTTTGTCTGGCCGGTTTCCTCTGCTATGGGCTCGCCTTCCTGCCGCCTGCCACCCCCCCCCCCCCCCCACACGTTCTCAATTTGAGGCCCAATCAAGTGTCTCTCCCTTCCATCACGTCAGTCTATTTCTTACGTCTCTCTTTCTGGATAGTGTAAAATTTACAGTTCGTCGTCGACTTACGACTCACGCGACTTGCGACTGATCAGCTTCACAACTTTTCAGAGACCGCAAATGCGTGACCACATCTGCGGCACATCTGGCAGCGTGTGCACTGCGCTGCGTGAGCGAGCGAGCGCTTCTGCCCCAGCCGCTGGCAGCAATGAATTAAGAAAATGGTGAAAAAAGCGGGAAAAAATGCCCAACAATATTACTTAAAGATGATATAATTTTATTTTACAGTATATTTTACATAAGATACGTTTTACATATAAAGAGCTAACTTATGACCAAATCGACTTATGACCGTTCAGTCGGAACCAATTGTGGTCAACGGTGACCTGTATACCGCAAAATTCGGCGGTTTTACCATCCAGTTATCCCACCAAAGAGGGATTTTTTATAAAATACAGTATAAACACAAATTTTTATCTGTTATTTGTGGCATAAGCTCAAGGTTTTCCCCCCTTTTTCTTATAATATTTTGGACTTCATAAAGTCTAAAATTAATTTCATATTATTCTTTTACACTCATTACAATTTGCTTAAAAAACATTCCCATCTTGCATACCGACGTGTTCTACAGTCCAAAACTCAACCGCCATTCTTATTGCCCTGATAATCAGATTAAAAAAGGAAATTTCTTTGTGTTGCTTTAAAGGTGCTATAACTGCTCATAATTAATGCATTTTTATTTGAATGCATGCTGCTGAAATGAACTGCGGTAAACATGAAAATACTGGCAGAGGTTTTCCATCCAGTATTATACAAAATGATCTAATTACTCTCACCAGTCAACCAGCAAGATCCTTCACCTGACAGCATAGATCTCCAAACAATTACCTAACCGAGGTCATTCAGGCAACCATGAAGGCAAAACAGTGCATTGCCATAATACACTTAGAAAATGGATTGGTTCCATTTGAGCACAGTCTCTATTGTATTTCATCAATGTTGCAGGAAAATGGCTTCCATTAAGTAGAATATGACCAGAAGGCATTAGATCATTACAGACTAGAGAAAGAAAAAAAAAACAAGGTTTAATCAATTAACAAGGGTACAGTCTTAAAGAGCTGGAAAAGATTTGTCCGCTGCTGTTTCTTTAAACTGGACCTGCTATGAAGTGATTTCAGTGACCAATTTGGCAAGATGTTAATAAGAGTAAGTGCAGTTAACAGGAGGAGGGGACCTGAGTTCATGGGGCAGCTCCAGTTCTTCCAGGCCTCTGCCAGTTTTCACTGTAATCTGCACGGTAGTGATTACAGAGTCATTATGTCACTGTTTAAGCAGGTCTTCTGTTATGCTTTGAATGGTCTAGACTGGCAAATGGAAAATGAATAGTAACATTGAATATAGACCCAAGCTTTGCAATCCATGACAGGTATAGTAAAATATTACTGTTGAAGTCAGCGCACTGCATTTCGAATCTGGGGTGTAAGTACCATTAAAACGTGAAGGGGCAACTCACTAATAGTGCTTAATTGTTGGAATGACACTTGGTGGACATCACCACTTCTGCAGGAGACCTTTTGTCCAGCTTTGCTGATCTCTCAGGAGTTAATCAGAGTCTGAATGTTTAATAAAGGGTACTGGGGGGCTTTCTAAGACACCCACATGCAGCTGCCCACAGCGCACGCAAAGCAATCTCATCTCGTTTAAATTCCAATTATAATTCCCAAAGTGTCACTTAGGTTCCCGTCTTTGTTTCATCAGCCAAACCCTGAGTGGTTGTCAGGATCGGACAAAAGTGATTTAACTAAGACTAATGATGGCTATCATTTGGAAATGTGCTGTGTTTTAACCAAGATCGGGGGGGGCGTAATAAGTATTCTGAAACATGCAATATGTGACAACGAAGCACTTTATTGTGGCATTAGTCATGTAATGCGCAACACATAAGCTGCCAGAATCATAATAAGGTATAACCTGAAGGCAAATGGTGGATCTTTTCTGGTATTTCAGAAAGTCGCGAGTATGTTTTGTTACTGTCTATCTTTACTGTATCTATAGGTGCCACTAGTTATAAGGTCATTCAGTGCCAGGCAGCGATTAATGTGAAACCGACTATGTCATTCACATGTAAACATGCATGTCCTCTTCCCATCTTTCTGAAATGTACAGGCAATTTGCTTTCAAATGGAACTTGTTCAGTATGTGAAATGCTTGTTGCTTTGGTAACATGGGAAAAAGCTGCATTCATGCTGTTTTTATTAGTGGCTCATGTTAGCTAGTCACCTCATGTGGTCACGGTCTTATTCTGAAAGCAGCCTGTCTAACAGGCCAAAGTTCTGAATGATGCTACAGTTCCTAAAGACTTTGGGGTGGCAGCAGATTCGCTTTGGTGTGTTTTGAAGCTGGACTGTTGCTCCTGCTTTCCTTTTATTTTCATTTCGACTTTGACATCGGACACCTTCTTGATGCCCATAGCCCAGGCTGAGGCCAACTGACAATGAGAGAGTCTTACAGATCACAATGTAAAATGATTATGTTATCATCATATTAAATGAACCATCATCCAGCTTTTTAAATGAACCTGTCTACCTGTAGGATTCCCTAAACCGCTACATATTAACATTCAATGTCAGTACTGTCCTTAACATTTGGTGCTCTCTGTAACCTTCAGTGTCAGTACTGTCCTTGACATTTGCTGTTCTCTGTAAACTTCAGTGTCAGTACTGTCCTTGACATTTGGTGCTCTCTGTAAACTTCAGTGTCAGTACTGTCCTTAACATTTCGTGCTCTCTGTAACCTTTAGTGTCAGTACTGTCTTTAGTGCTGTCTTCACCTGTACCCGTATGTCTGTGAAGTGAAGCTTGGTATCACAAATATATTAAGTGGGGTTCATACATCAGCCTATTTAGAATGTACCGCTCTCTTGTAGGAGACAAAATCACATAATCATCATCAGTGATTATCGGATGCTGCTTAAAACTGACCACCTCCTCCGCTCTTTAACTTTCTCTTGCAGGAACTCTTTACAGCAGAGTGCAAGTTCAAAGAGTCGGTATTTGAAAACTACTACGTGATCTACTCCTCCATGTTGTACAGACAACAGGAGTCTGGCAGAGCTTGGTTCCTGGGCCTTAATAAGGAAGGCCAAGCAATGAAGGGAAATCGGGTGAAGAAAACCAAACCAGCTGCTCACTTCCTGCCTAAGCCATTAGAAGGTAAAGCCCATAAATCTGAGCCCATTTGACACAGAAGACAGGGAATTTCAGCAAAGAAATGCCTGCTAAGGATATACTGTACCAGTGAAGTAGGGGGCAGGAGCGGCCGTGGCCCCCATAGTAAATATGTGGCCCCCCTTCAGCAAAAAAATAGAAATGAAATCTGGAGCATTTAGTTCTGTAAACCAGAGCTGCCCAACTCGTCGATCAGTCGATAGCTGCACGTAGCCTAGTGGATTGCCACCCCAGTAAAATTACTGGGTCTAGATTGGCCACCCCATTGTACAAGGTCTGGCTATGCTCCTGCAGTGAAGTACACTCAAAAACTATTAACAGAACAGCAGTGTTAACATTACAGACACGTTAGTCTTGTAGCCATTTTGGTCTTGCCCCTGGTTGATTTATTGGCATTTAGACTTACATTTTACTCTTCAACAGACGTCATATCTGTTTCTCAGTGTTTCAAAATACAATGTACCTACTAAGGTACATTATATCAATATCTCATTTGAAATTCTAACACACTATTATAGATAACTTATACGAAGGGAAATTGATTTTACGTTGAGTCTGTCCTGATAGTGAAATACCTCTTAATACCTTTATATCATTTCAACTGTTGTTTATAATGTGGATAAGTGGACATATATTATATTATATTATATTATATTATATTATATTATATTATATGGGATAGATTACCTTTATTAATAAATAACACAAAGCCATGAATACATATCACAAATGAAGAAATGTGTAATGTAAAAGTATTTATTTGTTCAGAACATGTCATTTTTTAGGTCACTTGTAACATCAGCGTATTCAGTTTCCCACGTGAGCCTAACCCTAACCCTAAACCTAACCCTAACCCGCTTGCCCTGTCCTCTCTCTTCAGTTGCCATGTACAGGGAACCATCTTTGCATGATGTCGGAGAGACCGCCTCAAAGGCTGCGCTTCGGCGCAGCAAAAGCACAAGTGAGCCAGTGGTAATGAATGGCGGGAAACCAGTCAGCAAGCCGGCCAAGACGACATAGCCAGACCTGCGGGGCCGGGCTCTCTCCCCGCTAGGCTCCAGCATGCTCATCTGCGGGTCGGGCTCAGGCCGTTCCACCTCCTTGCTCTTTCTCCGTAGTCTCGTCACTGGTGGATTCACCTGGAAGTTTGGCCAGGGCGCTAGGAGGAGATGCCTGGACAGTCGGCCACACCCCGCCATGGATTATCCTACCAGATATGGAATGCCTTTTTAATCTTTTCTGTAACTGTGACAATCCATGAAAATGATATAATTCAAAGTCTCACACAGTACCTTGCCTGCTGGTGGTCACTCCTGAGTCCCCATTCGAACCCTGTCCCAGCAGATTCCATTGAATTCAGATCTATTTTCTATACCACAGTACACCAGCTGTGTTCTGGATAGATGCTGTACAGATATACTTAAAATGGACTGTCATCTATTTTTTACAAATATGTTCCCTCCTCTTTCTCTTTCTATCTCTCTTCTATCAATCTTTCTCTTTGTCAAATACTTTGAGAATTTTGCAGGGGCTATGTGCGATTTTCTAATACACAGACGCACACACAGACGCACACACACACACACATACGCGCGCGCCCACAAACACTGATATTACATTACAAATAATACACCACAGGTGGCCTGGGTTTGTAGGAGCTTTTAGGATGGCGGTCCTAAAATTTTGGGATGGAAAAGTCACATTGGCTGCTACACCAAGGGAATAGAAGCGGCGTACCAACCTCAGTGTGAACTTTTATTTCCTGGTAAAAAAAAAACACACATACACACACACACTGAGGGCCAGCAGATCCCTCCAGTGACTGGCAATAGCAGAGCGCTGATTGTGAGCACGGCTGTCAGCGAAGGATGGGTTCTTCACACGCGAAGTACACATATCACACTCTGACTCCACCTGTGGTGACGTTTGCCTCGTCTGGTAAATAGGAACCTGATTTCTATTTTCCGTTTAGTTTTACTTTAGAGCGTGGCTCTAGGAATACCTATAGGCCTTGTAGGCCTTCTGCAGAGGTTCGATGCCTCTTACAATAGTTCCTCTGGACCGTGGACTGGGGGGAGACCTGACATGTCATGTGATCGGCAGTCGTTGTGGAATGCCTTCTTCAAAGTGGAAAACAGCTGAATATAAGCAGATGCTGTTACCGGCCGCTTACCCTTTCTGTTTGCCGATACATTAGGGCTTAGCGCTGTGTTTCCTTCTTGCAGCAGCAGTGCAGGAGTTAGGTTATGATTAAAATGTGTTCACTGTATGAAGCAAGAGAAATGTGATTTTGTTTTTGTTTTTTGTTTCTGTTTTTTTTTTTACCAACCAGAAATGATTATGTGTGTGAGGTGAGATTCCTAGCTCAGCATGCAGAGTCCATACTGCCCATATTGACCTGTCATGTGCCTGTGAAGACCTCTAACCCAGCATGCAAAAACATGTACCCAGCCATTGCTGGGTTAAAGGTGCCTCGTCATTCATTCATGTTCAGCAGGAAACTAGTAGCATTTTCACTTAAGTATAGTTTTTTTTTTCAATCCACTTTGCAGAAATCGAACATTAAATTACCAAAGTGTTTGACCTTGACGTTAAATAAATTAATGATAGTAATCATATACACAGCAACAACATCCATAACTTGTATCTTTCTTTGTTCTTCGTTTTCACTGTGACGATACATTAGCAACTTATAAGACATATATAAAAGATAACCAACCAGATAACCTGCATTTTGGCCTTTACATTAACGTATCGGCACTATAGCATATACCGAGTTTAGCTACCGATCATTTTAATAGCCTAAACAATATATAACAAAATAAAAATAACCAGATGCATGCTAGTGCTAAAATGACCAAAGTAAGCGAGGATGAGGGCAGAGTGTCGTTCTGTCAGATTGGCATTAAGTTCCAAATTAAATCAGCTCGCCGCTGTACAAACGTAAACTCGTTCATTGCGCACGTGTTCTCAGTTATCATTTGAACGTCTTTTCACTTTTATCGAGGATTATCTGAATGAGTCAGCAGATTAACATAAAACATGTGTTGCTTTAATGGTTTCCATAATAGTTTTATTAAATAACAGTTAGGATGTTGTTATAAAAGTAGACTGAAGGAATACAGCTAAACTGCAAATATATTAAGGGATTAATTTGAATATTTTTAATTTTTGGACCTTATTAGAACATTAAGCTAGGAGCCAGTTAAGCACATTATGTATAATTCAATATGTCTGTACAAAGCTACTTTAATGCTATTATACAATGCAGTACGATTCATAAAGGGGTTTAATGTTTTAATTTTATCTAGGGCTGATGTGCACTGTCTACATGTTTCAAGTGATTATTTTAAACATTGAACTCTACATGCTGGGCTATACTTGCCCTGCAGACCAGAGGACAGGTGAAAGAAGGGTTATTTATTTTTGTAATATTTGTTGCCTAATCGTGTGTCTAGGTAGTGTCTTCTGTAATGGGGTTTAATGCGTGAAGGTCTTTTAATGCATAATATTACCTTTTTTTCCAGCATAATCGAACATCGCAAAAAAGGGTCCTTGTTATCTGTTCCTTGGGTTTTATTTCAAAATCAGTCTTGTCTCATCTGTTGCATGGAAAGAGGATGGCACTGATGAAATGCATGTGGTAGGGTATATGTATCAAGAACTGTTGGTATGTACCGCTAACTTTACATACATATATGCAAACAGTTTGTCTGCACTGTACAGTTTGTGTTCATTGTATACACTGATACAACATATTGAATAAAATATTTATATAAAGCTGTTATATCAAAAACAAATGGAATTACATACAAAGTGTGGTACATTATTGCTCTGCTTATTTGAGTACATCAATAAACGGAGGGTGACACAGCCTAGAAAGCACTGAAGGCTTAACAAAATCTTTAATATTTATGATTACGAATGTGGTCGAGGATAGACATACAGACACATCTACACACTATCCAAATTTGTGTCCGTATGCACCTGTATTGGCGTACGTCTGGCAAAACCTTGGTTTCCAGTCCTGTTTATTGATCTGAGTAAGTAGGTTTTTTTTTTTATTCATGTGTCACCTTTTGTTGCCAGGTGCAATGGAAGAATGCCGCAGGTTAATATGACTGAGTCAAAATGTTCATCAAAATGTTTTATGTGTGTGGACTTCACTTGTCCAGTTGTTACTGCAGGTTAGAATGTTTGTTTTTTTAAGTCTAATAAAAAGGCAAAAACTCAATGGTCTACTTACCAATTGATGCTTATGAACAGATTTTTTATATCAGATAATCTCTTAGGTGTCTTATCATATTTAGTACGTGCATGTCATGTTCTGTCATGTTACATGTGTTGCTACTGTTAAAAAAGCAATGGTAAAATGCAGCACTTTAAATACAGATCAAGGCTTTCTAAGTCTTCATAAAATCAACAAAGACTGAAGTATTAAATAAAACCACAAAGCAGCACATTGTATCACTGTTTAGGGGTTTTCACAGTATGGATATCAATATGTTACACATTCCTGCCTAAAAATACCATATAATTTCAGAATTTGTTTTTAGTATTCTACTTATAAAAGGAATGGAATTAAAATTAAGAGATGAAGATCGGTGTCTAACAGCTCCAGTACTGCCTTTTCAGTTCCTCTCTGAGGTGCCATCTTACTTGTGCGTCAGCCATGTTTGTAACGCATCCGGGTCTCAGTGTTTCCAAATCCAGTCCTCGGAGGCCCACGAACGGTCTACATTTTTGCTCCCTCCCATTTCCGTGCCAGACAGTCTACATTTTTGCTCCCTCTCACCTCCCTAGTGGGAAATGGGAGGGAGCAAAAATGTGGACTGTCTGTGGGCCCCCAAGGACCAGATTAGGGAACACTGTCATAAAGAACTGCAGGGTCCTCTGGTATTAGAATTCTGCACTCATCCACGTTTCACAAGCTGTGCCTCTCCGCCCTTCTCGGCAGTCACAGTTGCCACAGTTACACATGCTTTTCTTGTGCTGAGGGTGGAACCAATGAGTGGTAAGAGTCTGACCTCTTAGGTTTTTTTTTAATCCTGTAGTGATGAAACACAGTCCCCTATATGGATTAACAGTTAGAAGCATTGACTATTCTCAGATAATACAAGTAATATATGCTTATGTATTTATAGTATATATGTACAGAAACCTTATTCAGCTACATATATAGAGTTTATATAAAACCCTCTCTGTACATTCACATGCATATGCGTATGTAAATGTTTCTCATGATACTTATCAGAATGCATTTTTTTTCCCTGAGTTTTATGAAAATAAGGAAGGCTTATCAAAATCGTCTTCTCTTCACTGCACAGTCCAGTAGTTGCCTGGACAGAAACTTGTATCTCTGAGACAGTCCCATCAGAGGAGTTATTGCAGCAGAATGGACAATATGCATGAGTTTGTGCTCAAATAACAAAACATTCCATGCACACCAACATTATTTACATTATGTGTCTTTGCAAGTCATTCCCCATAAAAAATGGAAGAAAACCTAAAGGAATATGGATAATGGTGATCGCATGTTACTATCCACTATGGTCACCACACAATACAGGAAGAAAGGGCACTACTGTCAATGACTATTTAAGGATGGGTTTTGGATTGATTAGTGAAAATCAAATAAATAATAAACTGCATTAGAATAAAAAAAAAATGAACAAAAACTGCAGTGGTGTAGTGTAG